TTCTGCGCGCTGGGCTTGACGGACTTGGGCGTCTGGAGCACCGACAAACAGTTCTGGGCCTCGAAATTGACCGTGATGTTCACAGGGCGGGTCTTCTTGCATAGGCTCAAGCAACTTTCACTATCGGGCCCAAGGCTCGTCTCGCACGCCGCACATACCGCAGCCACATCGGCGCCATCCTCGATGAAGAATGCACCACTGGCGAACGAACCATTCGCGTAGTATTCTAAGCAATAGTCGTTGCACATGCGCTTGTTATACGCATAGACGCCAGTCCCGACATACTGTGCCTGCGAACATGGGGGGTAGGATGGTCTGGGCCCGTATTCCTGGGGTTCGAAACGCTCCGAAACCAAATGCTGCATCGCTCCTCCGTACAATAAACGACGTCGGCGCTCCAGCGCGTGATGTACTCCTTGGGGTAGTTTACATGTACTCTATGTCCTCGACTGTCTTGAAGTACTACTTCGTGAACCAGTACACTCCCCAGACCTGCGGGGGGGGTCGCCCAGGCATCCTAAGCCCTACTCCATGCACTCAAGGTTGTTGCCGGCCGCCTTCAGGCCGACAATGAAGGCGTCGTTCTCCAGGGTCGTGTGTGCATAACCGTAGCCATAGGAGTGGACTTCGAGAACCTTGGGTTGGGAGGGGCCCGTCGCCAGACAGGGCGTTTGCGAAAGGTATCATACGGCCTGCCAATATGAACGTGCGTCGTGCTGCATGAACGTGCGTCGTGCGTCGTGCGACGTATGTAGACAATCTCTGGCACGTTGATGGAAAACGTCGGCATCGTGAACTTCGAACGACTCGAACCCCACATCGGTGCCGTCAGCCGCCGCCAGAAGGCCACTGCACTGCTCTCCCGCGCCGCCGCGGTGCACCGCCATGCCGAACGCCCCCCCGAAGGACACCACATCCCAAAGCATCATCGTGCGCCTCTGGTCTGGCTCCCCGCCGACGGCAGCGAGCACGTCGGCGGCGGCGACGCCCGCTGTGGGCGACGGACGGCAAGATCAAAAACGTGTCGGAGCCAGAAACCGCCGCGATGTCGCCGACGCCGCCGAACGGGGCCACCCAGACGGCCCCCCCCCCCGCAGAACTGCTGGCGCTGGGTCGCCGTGAGGTTGGCGAGGCGTTCCCCCAGAGTCGCGGCCATGGGGCTGCCGTCGCTCAGGAGGATGGACTGCGCCTGGCATCAGCGTGCCAGCAACCTCGAGCACGCGCGCGGCGCTCGGCTGGAGCCCGTTCGTTTATTCGGGCCGGTCACGCGCGTGACCGGGGGGAGGACGGGGGGGGTTTACGCCGTGCCGGTCACGCCACGGCGGGGGTGCGCCCGGGGTGCCGCAACATGCCCGTAAGCACCGCAGTGCGCCTGCGAAAAACAATCGCCTGCGACCCGACAGTCACGACGTCTTTCCAGTGGAAGCGCAGGCACGACTCCCTCCCGTACCCGCCGCCATCAAGGTACGCCACCTGCACGCACCGCACGTGCCACGCGGGCCGCGCTTCGGGGGGCAGCTCACCCACGATGCCATCGACGCAGCTCGCAGCGCCGCCGAACGGGAGCACGGCCGTTGGCCGGATCAGCTCGAGGTGCCTGCGGACGAAGGGCTTCACGTGCTGCTGAGAGGCCGCGCCCTCGAAGAGGTCGCCGTCCCCCATCTCCAAAAAGAGCACGGTGACCTCGAGGATGGAGCCCTGCAACAACTTGTTGTTGGACCTATCGATCCCGCGGCTGACGCCGTGAAGTGTTTCGATCTCCGATCGGTCGCCGGCGCTACCCTCGAGCACGACCAATATGTCCACGCCCTGGAGTCCCGTAGCATTGGTTGTGGCCGCAGCGAAGGATATCGCGCCGACAGCAAAATGGACAGCGAAGAGAATCGTCTTCATCGTAGCAACGCGTCGACAAAGTCACGGACAAAAACCACGCTGCGCTGAAGCGAAAATGGTCTGAGCCAAGGTGGCTTGAGCCAAAATAGCTACGGACCGTCTCCGAGGGAGGAAGACGAGGCCGAGGAGGAAGACAAGGCCGAGGTTCTTGGATGCTTGTGTTTCTTTGGCCTCCAGGCTGGCCAAAGGGTCATAGAAGACTTCCAGAGATTTCCAGGGATCTGCAAAGACCCTCGGGCACCTCCGCGGCGGGAGACGGCCCGGGGTGATAAGAGAACGCCCGGCTAGGCAGCGGCAACCGCCATCCATCGCGGACACGGGGACGGGCGTCGCCCAGATCCCCAGCGGAGGCTACCTCGACCCCGACAGGGCGCGTGCACGCATGGCTGACCTCAGAGACCAGGTAACGCCAGCGTTGACCTTCCCTAGGGGTCAACGTTTACTTCCGCCGCCTTCCACCGAGCTCCCACTGGCTTCCGCCAAGGGAACATTTCACTCTCGCCAACTTCCGCTGACCTTCTAGCAGCTCCCGCCAGGGGCGGGATGTTCCCTGCTAGATTCCTCGAAGATGGGCGCTTTTCGGAAAGCCCTGGACTCGCCAGTCCAACGGGCCAGAGGCGTACTAAAATCTCCGGTGACAAGTTTCGGTTCTTCTAGCTGGCGCGCGCTCGGCGGCCCCTCGGTCCCAGCACGACAAGAACCCTCGGCGGTCCGCGGTCGGTCCCCGGGCAAGTCCCGGGCATGTGCTGGGCGGTCGGTGTCACAGATTCCGGAATTGCGGGGGGCGGTCTTCAGGGCCCCCAAGGGCGCCCCAGCAGCGCCCCAAGAGCCCCAAGGGAGCTGCAAGAGCTCATTCGAATCGGGACCCATGGGTGGCAGGCTCCACGATGGCGTCTATACACTCCCAAAAGGCTTCAAGATAGGCTCCAAATGGTCAAATCCGCCTCCAAGAGGCGCCCAAGATGCCAGAATTGATTGATTGTACCACCCAAGACGGCCCACTGAAGCCGCAAGATTGCCACAACTCAAACCCAGAGGCCCCTAAGACGGCAACGAGAGGACCCAAGAGAGCCCCAAGACGGCCCCAATGGCCTCCGAACTGAAATGTTCGAACTCTGTCCCGACAGATGGCGCCACACCTCGCCAGAAAGCCCCCAGGAGGGCTCCAAGAGACCTCCAAGAAGCCCCCGGGAGGCCCCAAACCTCCCCAAGAGGTCCCTCAGAGGCCCCCAAGATGCCCCCGAGAGGCCCCACGAGGCTCCAAAAAGGCCCCCACGAGCACGCAGGCAAGTGCCAACGATGCTAGAATGAGCCCCCAAGAAGCTCCCAAGACGGCCTAAGAGGGCTTCAAGGAGAGCCCAAAAGGAACCCAAGAAGGGAGATACGGACCGCCATTTCCAGCCCTCTGCCCCGAGACGCCCATGATTGCTCACGCAGCACTTCAAGGAAACGACCACCGCCCATCAGCGCCGCAATGGCAACGAACGGAATAGTCTGGGCAAGCAGACTGCGCAAAACGATGCAAACAAGCGGCCTTGATCAAGCTAAGACAGGCACGCTGGACGATAAGCACCACGGCCCAGGGCTGTCGTGTCGGGCGGTCGGATGCGCGCATGTGCGCGCGAGCAGGCAAGGAGTTTCCGAATATACGGACACGCACGTGCATATGTTATCCAAACGGTGCTTGCACTTAGGGGTTCTTGCCTCTTTCCTAAGGAACTGGGCCCGACGGTCGGTCCAGCGGCTATGTGGTCGCCGTCGCGGCCCCGACGCCGCCTCGACGGCAACACCGCACACGCTGTGAAGTCTGGGGCTGCTTCTGGAGCGGGGCTGCCCCATACACGGATGGGCACTTCGAGTGTGAACACCAGCGCGGCCTCCACTCGGGACCGTGACTATCCAGCGCATGGGAGCCAGGTGCCCGCACGGCGCGAGGAGACTCATGATGATCAGGCTCATGCCGTCCGTGCATCCAAGACTGTGCCGCCGTGCCCCAGTACTCGAGTGAGGTAGTGTCGGCCAAGTCCCATCGCCCCCCAGCATCGTGATCAAACACGACACCAACAGCCGCATCTGGTGGATAGTGCTCAGGGTTCCAGAACTTGTGCAAGAACAAATTCAACCCGCACAGAGCAATCGCATTGATGAACCTACTGGACGTCCACTCGGAGAGCCGCTCACTCTTTGAAGCCAAGCCATAAAACCAGCCTCGAGACCTGGGCTTACGACCTTCAATGTCCAGCGGACAAGCCCCTCCTCATACCGCACACATCTCCATGTGCGGAAGCACCACAGGGAGCCTGCCATGGGGGCGCCGATCAAGCATGCCCAAAGAATGCACACTTGGGTGATGTGTCACCCTTCGGGTCACTACTGGTTGAACAACGCACGACGACGACATCGACGACTGCGGCGGTGAGCACGAAGATGCCACCGACGCCGACGACGCTGGCTGCGACGTCTCGGAGGACCAGAAGACTGAAACACCTTTGTTGAGCCCACCAATTCGTGCTCTCTCCCTCCACTCATCTCCACCCTCCATCCCTCCCACGCGCCCACCATCCCACCTCTTTCCCCGTATCCCACCTGAGAAAATCAGTGACTATCGCTGCTGCTCTTGCCACACACTGCAAGAAAGACGGACGCTCTGGAGGTGGCTCTCTCTCTCCGTTCTCCCTGGACCGTGGAGGGGAGGTGGACGCGGGGGGCCGGCTCCGCAGGGGGAAACATCGTCCTGGAAGCGACAACACATCGCCCCTGGAACGGCGACTGGCCCCTGAAAACTGCACATTCACGGGCGGTGGGGCATCCAGGCCCCGATCGGCGATGAATGGGCGATCGGGCGTTGATGTCCCCCGCCCCCCATGACCCAATTCCCTCTTTCCACCTAAGACGAAGCCAGGACGAAGACAACATCGGATGAAGATAAATCGAGATCTCTGAGATCCGGCGGCTCTGGAAGATGTCTCGGGCGCCGCGGCCTTATCAGAGCGTTCTGGAACCCTCTGAAAGCATTCCGGAAAGCTCTGGAACGGATTTATCCTCGTCCTAGCCCCGTCCGACCCCTTTCCATCGCCCCTGATCTTCCGTCACGTCCCCCAAGAGGCCTGATCCGGTGAAGGGTCATGGCGTTCGCGCTGTCCGGGCCAGCCTCGGCGCGGGGTCTGCGCGGACAAAGAGCAGGCACGCAAGAGCGGCACGAGAGAGGAGTGGTAGAAGCGTTCCTCGAAACGACTTCGCTCGTGGAGGCGTGTCCGGCTAAATGCCCATGGCTCGTCTTGACTCTCTCTACGCCCGTCCAGGTGCACGATGTCCGCGTAGCGATCGAGACCGTCGGACGCCTGACTTTCTGACCTCAACGGTGCTACAAAGCTCCTCCCTCATCCTCCTCCCCCGCCTCCTACTCCGTCTCCTCCTTCTCGCCTCCTCCTCCTCCTCCTCCTCCTCTTCGTCCTCCTCCTCCTTTTCCTCCTCCTCCTCGTCCTCCTCCTCCTCCTCTTCCTCCTCCCCCTCTTCCTCGCCCTCATCCTCGTCGTGATACGTCACATCCTCGTCATCATTAGTATTATTACAATCACCACAAGCATCACCATCGTCGCCATCGAAATCGGAATCGGAACGAAGGGTCTAGCCGAGCAGAACACGCCAGTGTGCACGCAGCTCAAAGTCGACCTGAGAGAGGGAGAGAGGAGAGAGAGAGAGAGAGAGACAGGCTGTGGATGCCTCTGGGCTGCCTGACCGAAGTTGCGGTCGGCAGCAGGCCAGGCAAAGGCGGGACGGGGTCCTCCGCAATCCCGCCCCCGTCCTGAGACCTCCGCCTCCCCCGCCGCCAGGGTGGGAAACTGCTAAAAAGTGATTGGGCAGGTGCTGAGCTTGGTGCAGCTCACTCTGCACCTTGGCTGTAGGGAGGCCGGCCCTAAACAGCGGAAAAACCAAACAACAAAATATAATGCGGAAGTTTAATGGAGGACCCAAGCTTCGCTGTCTAGGGAAAGAAAGCGACAACCTCGCTCCCTAAGTTGCTTGGAAGCACACGTGGCCTAAAATAGCCCACTCCGTTGCAACAAAATGCGGCGGATGCTTCCCAGGTGTGCGCAGCAGCTGCGGAAGACGTGGGGGGATCTTCCTTCTCCTCCTCCGATAAGACACGCGCAGCCCAACACGCAACGCACACAGACAATAATACTCGACCCCTCCTCTCCCCCTCCTCCCCCAGAGATGGCTGGCAAGAAACAACAGAAGCTCTGAGGGATAGGGGTGAAGAAGAATAGATAGGACATGGAGGGATAAGGGGCCGAGGGAAACTCGGGAGGCATCTGCTGGGCAGTGGCCCGAAGTCATAGACAGAGCTGGCTTCATGCCTCGCCCAACCAGCTTTCGAGGAGTCTGCTGCGAGCCACTGCAGTCATATTCTCATTCGCCTTAGCCCTCTTGAACTGCACGCGAAGAAGGACACGACGCATATATCGCGTGCCCATGTGTTACAGCTCTGGCAAAGGACGGCCCCCTTGAACTTGGCACGTGTATCTCCACAGCTGGAACACTTCGCTTTGCCAGATGGGCTCGAGGGAACCAAGAATGATGCGCGCTCAAATACTCCCGCATACCGCCTGCACGGGTGGCCTTCGGCAGAACTGTTTGATAAATTGCCACTGCTGCACAAACGTTGAACTCCCGTCAGCCTCGTCCGCTGTTTTATTTCCACCGGCGCCGGCTGTCTCGGGATCTCCCTTCTGGCATACCGAGGCGGTACGCACGCTGAAATCCCGAAGTGCGACAGGATGGAGCGCGCGACCTTTAACCAAGTACTCCTCCAACTCACTGCAATCGCTGGCCCAACCGTGGCCATCGTGCCCACTGCTGTGCGTAATCATGTATGGTTCCACAAGTAAGGAGCGTGCCATGGCCCTTTCATACAAATAATCGAAATCTGAAGCTGCTAATGTAGAGCGGCCAATGCGGCGTTCGCCGTAGTGTTCAGAAACCCAATTTCGCCCCTGATGAAGCTTGATACCGGTCTGGCTCTCAATGTCCACGCTGGCCTTTGTGGGAGAAGATTCGCCTCGTCGTGATACGTCACATCCTCGTCATCATTAGTATGATTACAATCACCACAAGCATCGCCATCGTCGCCATCGAAATCGGAATCGGAACGAAGGGTCTAGCCGAGCAGAACACGCCAGTGTGCACGCAGCTCAAAGTCGACCTGAGAGAGGGAGAGAGGAGAGAGAGAGAGAGAGAGAGACAGGCTGTGGATGCCTCTGGGCTGCCTGACCGAAATTGCGGTCGGCAGCAGGCCAGGCAAAGGCGGGACGGGGTCCTCCGCAATCCCGCCCCCGTCCTGAGACCTCCGCCTCCCCCGCCGCCAGGGTGGGAAACTGCTAAAAAGTGATTGGGCAGGTGCTGAGCTTGGTGCAGCTCACTCTGCGCCCTGGCTGTAGGGAGGCCGGCCCTAAACAGCGGAAAAACCAAACAACAAAATGTAATGCGGAAGTTTAAATGGAGGACCAAAGCTTCGCTGTCTAGGGAAAGGAAGCGACAACCTCGCTCCCTAAGTTGCTTGGAAGCACACGTGGCCTAAAATAGCCCACTCCGTTGCAACAAAATGCGGCGGATGCTTCCCAAGTGTGTGCAGCAGCTGCGGAAGACGTGGGGGGATCCTCCTTCTCCTCCTCCGATAAGACACGCGCAGCCCAACACGCAACGCACACAAACAATAATACACGACCCTTCCTCTCCCCCTCCTCCCCCAGAGATGGCTGGCAAGAGGCAACAGAAGCTCTGAGGGATAGGGGTGAAGAAGAATAGATAGGACATGGAGGGATAAGGGGCCGAGGGAAACTCGGGAGGCATCTGCTGGGCAGTGGCCCAAAGTCATAGACAGAGCTGGCTTCATGCCTTGCCCAACCAGCTTTCGAGGAGTCTGCTGCGAGCCACTGCAGTCATATTCTCATTCGCCTTAGCCCTCTTGGGTTGCACGCGAAGAAGGACACGGCGCATATATCGCGTGCCCATGTGTTACAGCTCTGGCAAAGGACGGCCCCCTTGAACTTGGCACGTGTATCTCCACAGCTGGAACACTTCGCTTTGCCAGACGGGCTCGAGGGAACCAAGAATGATGCGCGCTCAAATACTCCCACATACCGCCTGCACGGGTGGCCTTCGGCAGAACTGTTTGATAAATTGCCACTGCTGCACAAACGTTGAACTCCCGTCAGCCTCGTCCGCTGTTTTATGTCCACCGGCGCCGGCTGTCTCGGGATCTCCCTTCTGGCATACCGAGGCGGTACGCACGCTGAAATCCCGAAGTGCGACAGGATGGAGCGCGCGACCTTTAACCAAGTACTCCTCCAACTCACTGCAATCGCTGGCCCAACCGTGGCCATCGCGCCCACTGCTGTGCGTAACCATGTATGGCTCCACAAGTAAGGAGTGCGCCATGGCCCTTTTCATGCAAATAATCGAGATCTGAAGCTGCTAATGTAGAGCGGCCAATGCGGCGTTCGCCGTAGTGTTCAGAAACCCAATTTCGCCCCTGATGAAGCTTGATACCGGTCTGGCTCTCAATGTCCACGCTGGCCTTTGTGGGAGAAGACTCGCCGCGTGAAGTCTGCGTTGCCTTTACGTGAAGGACATCGGCTCTGGTTGTGATTGCGATATCTTTGAGGTCGTCCAACTTCTCGCAAACGATTGAAACCTGATGATTCCACATCTTTCTGTTGCGAGATGGCCCCTGATATTCGCCACTGAACCGACGAGATGAGCGAGCTCAACTGCGGGGCCGCTCGCGGACACAATTCGAACTGCAGAACTCTGCACCGCATCCCTACCAACATTTCAGGGGTGCGCGGGCGGGAGCTTGAGACCAACGGTGGCGGCATGCACTGCAGAGGCGAGGCCTCTGCGCAGACGCGACAGGCCGAGGCTGGAAGGGCATTCACGTGCCCCCCACAAATCCACTCTTTTTGCACCTCGGCGGAGAGCAACATTATGTTGCGAGACGGGTCCTGGGATTCGCCACTGAATCGATGAGATGAGCGAACTCAGCAACGGGGCCGCTCGCGGACACAATTCGAATTGGAGAAATCTGCAACATATCCCAAACCTTTAGGACCCAGGTCGAAGTTCACAGCCACGGGGGGCGGATGGCCGAGAGGCACGCGCATTATAACGAAAAAGGCGAGGGCGAATTAGATCGAATGCCGTTCGGCCCAGATCGGTGACAACAGCGCCCCAGCAAGACAGCGAGCCAACTTTGGGGGGCATGCCGCCGCTTCGCGGGCGCTCTGCCCCTCCAAAATTGCATGCGTCTTACCCGAGAAAAGGGCAGTCGCCGCGACACCCCGCGCAGGCAGCAGCCCCTGGACGGCCCAAAAGGCCCAGGTCGAGGTCAGCCCCGCCGAAGACAAGTCGGGGGGCCTTTCGGCGGGGCGCCCCGAAAGCGCAGTGGTTCGCGACCACAGTGCGACAGGCGGCTCGCTCTAGCACAGATAACGAAACTGGATCATGCCACATGCAACTGCCGCGGGGATGTCCAAGACAAAACGGGATACGCATTCCTAGGCACATCCGAACTGCGCGGAAACATAAACCTAAACAGGCGTTCCCTAGACGCACCTTATCACGCTGGATATCGGGCAAACCTCGGAGGCTCTAGGGAACTGCTTACTCCTCAAGGGCACATTCACCTTTTTATATGATCGAGAAGGAGGTGCAGGGCGGAGCCATCATGATGCCTAAGACCTGCCAGCTTCGCACACTCTGGCGCAACTCCACCTGCGCGCGTGGTCTCAGGAGGTCCCCTACGGACCCTGCCTTTACGGCCCACTCTCGCGACACGTAACCGGCCCGCCGCGCAGCAGCCGCCGCGCGACCTGCGCCGCTGAACAGCTCGGCAGAGAAAGGCGTCATGGCCGCGTCGCTGGGGCCGGCAGTCGGCGCCGACGCGCGAGGCACTCCTCGAGCTGGCGCCCGCAGTCGAGGGCACGCGCCTGCTGGGCGGCCGCCAGATTCCTTCTGGCGTCGTTCAGCCGCCCCGCCTTCTCGCACCTGGCCACGCCCATGGCCGCTTCTCAGCGGCCCCGTTTCATGCGCTCGTCCAGTCTTCTCTCGCGATGAGCTCGATCGATGGAGATGCCACTGCGTCGGCCATTGTGGGGCACCATCTTGAAGTTCAGCGCCGCCGCGGCCTGCGCGAACATCTGGTAGAACTGGCTGTGCTCCCCAGAAAACAAGCGCTCGTCCCTGGGCCCCTGAGCCAGGCCGTCCGCGGTGAGTCCATCGCCGCCGCGTCGTCGGCCTCGCCCGTCTTGCTTCGTATCGCGCTGCTGCTGCTCGGGAACAACATGAGGCTCCACCTGGTTACCCCGCCTGCGGCTGGCGGCAGCAGTGGACGGCGCCTCAGCGACAGCAGCTCTGACGGACGGGGGTGCGCCTCCACTGTCACCAGCACCGCGATCGCCGCCAGCCCGCGGCCATGACGAACCAGCTGCAGGGCCGCCCACATGGGCCAGGGGAGGGGCATTCGGCTCATCGGCAGGCTGAACAGTCGCCATCCACGCAGGTGCCGAAAAGCCCGCGGCAGCCGTCGCCCTCCGTTGCGACTGAACCCTGGGAACATGAACATCACCGCGGCCAGCATGCTCGCCGCGCCAGGTCCGACGACCCGGACTGAACTCCGCGTTCATCCACTTGACGACGCAGTCGTCGACCTCGGCATACTCGACGAGCGGCGCGCCGTGCTGGTCCGCGAGGCGGATCAGCTCGCCCACGTATGTCCACGTGCATCTGATAGCGCGCTCTAGTCGCCGCCTTCATTCTGTGGGCCTCCGAAGACTTCTGCCCAGGCGATTGGGTCTTTGGCCATGTGCCGCGCCCGCGCCGCCGCGCGGCGGGCGTCGGCGCGGTTGGGCCCGCGGCCTGGCAGCTCCTCCCCCCGGCTGCTCTCGCTGTCGTCCTCGGCGGCAGCGGCGGTCGCGGCGGCGGCCTTGGCGCCGGCGAGCAGGGTCGAAGCGGCCCGCCCCCGCTCCGTCGAGGCGGCCTGCTCGAGCCCCGCCGGCGGCGCCGCCGCGCCCTCGCTCGCCCGGCGATCCAGCCCGCCGCAGGCCGTCCTGCTCAGCGCGCGCGTCCTCCGCGGGCTCCAGCTGGCTGAGGCGGCCCGCGGCAGGCTGGCCGCGGCCCGCGGCGCCGCCAGGGGCCGCGCCAGCACCCGCGCCTGGGCGGCCCGCCCCCGCGGGGGCACGCAGCGGGGCCGCGCCCGCCAGACCGGGGGCGCCGCCGTCCAGAGGGCACGCCGCCGCCGCCGTCGAGGCGTCGCCCTCCTCCTCGAGCCGAGGTGGCCCTGGAGGATGGCGTGCTGGGGCGGCCCCTCGGTCGTCTGGGTCGGGCCCAGGAGGGCCCGGTCGCGTCTGTCTTGCGTGGCTCCTCCTCGAGGCAACAGATGGGCAACGCACATATCTGCTTCGTGCTCCCTTGCGAGTTTTCTGCTTCCCTCGTCGCTGCTGTTGAACTCCGAAGGAATCCACCTGCAACTGAACCTGAGCCCGCGCCCGAGCCAGCGCGCCGCCGCCTGCCGAATCATCTCCAGCAGCTTGAAGCCCCGCGCTTGCGAGCGCGAGAAGGCGAGGATCACCGCCGCGTTGTCGCCCAGGAGGAAAGCCCGACCGTCGTGGCCAGCACGCGAGCTCGCCACTCTCTCCGCCGCCTCGATCAGCGCGCGGCCCTCGAGGGAGGGCGCCCTCCCCGAAAGCCGACTGGTCGGCCCAGGCCGTCCGCCAGAGGTCGGCGCGCAGCAGCTCCGCCGGCACCTCCTCGAACGCGGGGCCCCGGCCCCAGCGCGCGACCTCCCCCTCGGGGATCTCGGGCGCGAGGGCCTCGGACGCGACGACGCCGCTGTCCGCCGGCATCTTCAGGCAAGCGGCCCCCCTAGCGGGCCGTCGCGCAAACCCCGCGCCGAGGCGATGGCGGCGCCGCTCGCGCACTCGGCCAACGCGGCCGACGTCGCGAGGATCCCGCTGTGAGTGGGCCAGGCCGAAACCAGCGAGCGACGCGTCGGACTGCCGCGCGCCCGGCATCCACCTCGCATCGCAATCGGCACGCAGGAAAATCATCGGGCGCAGCGAAGGCCCGATACCCCTGCTCCACGCTGCTCCGCAGCGCGACCCTCTCGAAGCAGCGCCGCTTGATGCAGCGGTAGACGCAGCGGAAGCAGCTCAGACCCTCCCGTCGCACCAGGCCCAGGAAGGCGCGGCGGCCGATGACGATCTCCAGCTCGAGCCCGCTCACCACGCGGCGCCGCAGCAGCGCCCGCGCGGCGCCTCGGACTCGCCAAAACCTGGATGGCGCGCGCCGCGCGTAACCTCCGTGACCGTCGAGCTGCGCGCCCAAGGCCTCGCCGCCAGCGTCGGTCAGGCGGTCTCGTGCACCTTGAGGCCCGTCCCGCCGAAGGAAGTCATCGCCGCCTCCAGCGCGGCGCTCGCTTGGCCCTTGGGCGCCACGAACGCCCCGACGTTGCCCGCGTAGGCGCAGCGGCCCAGGGCCTGCGGGCCGCCCAGGATGAGAGGGGGGCCCCGGTCCGTCATCGGCAGGGCGACGCCCAGCTCGCGCAGCAGCTTCATGCGGCGCGAGTTGGACGCCCGTTGTGCGAAGCACAGCGACCAGGCCCAGCCCATGGGCAGCGCGCGCGCCAGAGGGTATACCAGCGTGCGGCCGCCCGGCTTCGCCCCGTCCAGCTGCGTCAGGCCCAACTCCGCGGCCCGCAGCGCTGGGCGCCCGAAGTGCCCCTGCAGGCCCAGCCCGTCGTCCAAGAAGGGGAACCCTTCGCGTCGCTCACCCCCGTCAGCCAGGTGTTCAGGCCGGCCATGGCGTCGCCCAGCTCCTCGCCCAGCTAGGGGCCGCGCGGCGTTGACCGCTCGTTGCGGCTCAGGCCGTCACTGCTGACACGGTCGACCCCGGGCGGACTCCTGAACGGGCGATTCGCCGGGCGGCGGTCCAGGATCAGCCGCTGGCGGTCGCCCTTTTTCTTCACGAAGAAGATGTCCACCTGGCAGCGGCGGGCAGTCGACAGCCGCGCGAGGCCCAGCTTCAGCAGCCGCTTGACCAGGCCGATGTAGGCGGGGCGCTTGCGGCGTAAAACAGGATCCATGCAGGGCCGAACTGGGCCGCACCTTGCGTTAATTTCGTCCGCCTCCTGAGGCGAACGCATCGTGTGGCTCTCGAAATCTTTCAACTGAATCTGCTCCACCTCTGGCAGCAAGTCCACGACCCGCGGCGAGCCTGCCGGGTCGTCCGGGACGGACAGCCGGGCGTTGGGGAAGGGGGCCAGCGTCGCGTGGACCAGCTGGGCGTAGCCGCCGCGGCCCCGCAACAGTCGCGCCAGACGTTGCTGCGAATCCTCCGCGCAGGCAGGCCCGCCCCAGCTCGCCGCCAGAAGCTGCGCCCGCCGCTGCGTCTCGCACTGCAGCTCCGAGACGCGGCGCCGCGCGGCCCGGCTGGGCGGCCCAGAAGGAGGCCGTCGTTCAGCGCCAGGCAACCACTTCAAGCTAGCCAGACGGCCGTTTGCCAACCGCCTCACCCGAGCCCGATCTCGTCGACCAAGCGGGGCTGCGATGTCGGCACCCAGCTCGCGCAGCTGCGGCAGGGGATAGATCTGCCCGCCGCGCGCGACCTCTGCATCCGGGCCGGGGGGCGGCCTCGCCCCCGGCCCCGTGCCCGTCATTTCGGCGGGGCGGCGGCCGCCGCGTCGCCGGGCTTCGTCTTGCCCCCGCGACCTCGGCCGCCACCGCCGCCTCTGCCCCCGCCATCATCAGCCCCAGCTCGAGAGAGGCCTCCAATCTCCAGCGCCGCCGCCACGTCCTCGATGACGCCAGCCACGCGGCCGCTTGCCGCTAGCGTCCGCCCGCGGCCCGGCGCGGCCAGGCTGTCGGCCTCTTCGCGGGCAGCTCGGTTCGCGAACGCGCGCGGCTCGGGCGACGCCACGTCGAAGGGGTCGCTCGCCCCCGCCAGGAAGCGACCCGCCCCCTGCGCCGCGGGCTGCCCAGGGGCGACCCTGCGCGCCTCGGCGATCTGCGCCACTCGGCGGGCCGCCACTTCGAGACATGCCGGGCCGCCGAGGTTCACCGCGTCGAATGTCCCGGCTAGCCAGAAGATGGTGACCAGACAATTCAGCTCGTGATAAGTCCGATCCCGCTGACTGATGCCATACTCCCGGCAGAAGGTGGACATCCACGTCTTGGGAACCCCGCCGTGCTGAGTGAACCGCTGGTACAGGTGGAGAGCCGCCCCCGCGCCTCGCAGCTCGCGGCCGCCCTGCGCCTCCTCGCTGCTCTCGCCAACGGCCCGACGCCACTCCTTGAAGCGGGCGCCCTGCTCATTCCACTCCACGGCGAGCGTCCTGCGCTGGCCGCCGCGCCGCCCTCTCCGGGCGCGTCGGCGCCCGTCGCCTCGCTATATACGGGGAGCCTCGCGCAGGACAGCACGGATATCAGCGTGGCCACGATCATCTGCAGGGAGCGGGGCGGCCGGCTCGTCCGCCGACGCAGCCAGGCGGCCAGCGTTGGCGCGAGCCTGGGCTCGCCGCTCCTCCACAGCCGCGAGGCCCACGCGGTCGCATAGCACGGTGCGGCCGTCCGACCGACGGCCGATCACCTTCGGGCCCGCGGCGGCGTCTGCGTCCCCAGGCGCGACCTCATCGCCCAGCTCCAGCCCGCCGCCTGCGCGCAGCTCCGCCACCAACAGCACCGTCTCCGCGTCCTCGAGGGGGGGGGGGGGGGAGCGCACAGGGCGGGCCGCGCGGCCACCTCGTCGCCGGCCGCCTCGGGCTCGCGCGCGCCGGCCGTCAGCGGACGCTTGCCGCGCAGCCGTCGCCTCGCAGACTCCAGCACGCCGACGTCCAGCCCGCGCTCGTCGCCCTGCCAATCCACCATCGACCGCGGCTCCACGCCCAGGTGCGCGCCGAGGTCCCGTGGCAGCCGGCGGCGTCGGCGCTCATCCCAGGCCAGGTCGCAGCCCTCTAGCACCATCTGTCGCAGAGCCTCTCGCCCCAGCTCAGACTGGAAGCGCACCACATTGCCGCGGAAGCCCTCTGGCCAGCCATTCAGCAGCGAGACGTGCTAGCGCCAGTCAGCTTTGCGCTCCACATAGCGGTCGCCATCTGGGGTCTCGATCACCCAGCGCTCGTGTCGTCGATCTCGGTGGACTGGCCACAGCAAGATTCTCTCATGAGTCCACTCATCGCCGTCGAACCTCACCAGCAGTCGCGACCCCGGCCGACGTTCCTCGTAGGTTGACATGCTCTCGCGACGCGGCCACCCTCGGGGCCGCCTCTGACGAGGCGCTTCAGCGGCCCAGCAAGAAACTCGTCAGGGCGACCAGCAACCAGAGCGACCAAACTGGCCCCGCCGCCAGTGGCTCGGCCGCCGCAAGGGCCCAGGGAACGCCGGCCGCGGCGCAATCCCTCGCCGGGCAAGGCGGGGGCGGCGGGCACCCCGAGCAGGCCGGGCAGGCGGCGGGGCGACAGTCGGGGCACGGCGCGCACGACTGCGCCCCCGCGAACGCCACCCGCGCCGCCTCGGCCACTGCCCCGCGCGCCAGCTCTCGCAGCATGCCGGGCCAAGCCGCCCCCAAGGCCGCGCAGAGGCCCGCCACCATCTGAGGTGGCACGGGGCCTCGGCGCTCTGAAGCTTGAGACCAAAAGAGGCGGTATATACTGCAGAGGCGAGGCCCCTGCGCAGACACGACAGGCCGAGGCTGGAAGAGCATTCGCGTGGTCCCCACAAACATGTGGTAAGAGGCCACGCCTCTTGCAACACACTCGATGCCTGATGGAGCCCTTCGAAATGCATCTTAGCAGCATATGGGGATGCCCTCGATACACTGTTGCGCAAAGAAATGAGACTGAGAAACGGGTCCATCTGCATAGACACACAGGGAGCAGTACAATACACAGAAAAGGGAGGACTGTAGCGTCACTGCCGCGCGTGAGCCACAATAGCTACGGAGCATCGTCGCCATCATTATCCTCCTCCTCCTCCTTCCCGGTTGTTCCTGCTCCTCCTCTTTCTCATCATCATCATCATCTGCAGCATCATCATCACCCACATCATCATCAGCATCATCATTATCATCATCATATCATCATAATCATCACACGCGTCCTCATCTTCATCATCATCCTTGTCAGTATCATCACCATCGTGATAATCATCATCATCATCATCATCATCATCATCATCATCATCATCATCATCATCATCATCATCATCATCATCATCATCATCATTAACCTCATCCTGGTCCTCGCCCTCGTCCTCGACCTCAGCATCATCCTCATCCTCACCCTAATCCTCATATGCATGCTCCTCATCCTGATCATCCTCCTCCTTCTCATTATCATCACCATCATCACCATCACACCACCATCGTCAGCAATATCATTATCACACCACCATCATCATCACCATCACCACCATAATCATCATCGTCATCATCATCGTCATCGACATCATCATACCGTCCTCACTCGTTCCTCGTCTTCCTCATCCTGCTCCTCCTTCTCCTCCTCCTGCTCCTCCTCCCCCACGTCCTCCTCCTTCTCCTCCTTATCGCATATTCCTCCTCCTTCTCCTCCTCCTCCTACTCCTCCTCCTCCTTCTCCTTCTCACTCTTCTTCCTCACTCTCATCCTCATCCACACCAGCATCGTCATCAGCATCATGAGCACCATAATTATCATCATCAGCAGCAGCAGCATCCTCATCATCAGCGTCGTCGACGCCATCATAATCACCATCATAATCACCATCAGCATCAACAACATCATCGCACTCATCCTCATCGTCATTCTCGTCCACATATGATCACCAGCGCCAAAGTCAAAATAATCATCATCCTCAGTTGCATCGTCGGCATCACCATTATCATCATCATTCTCATCCCAAAAGCATCAGCACCATGATGGCACCGTCATGATCATCATCTCCATTCTAATTACCATCAGCATCATCACATTCATCAACATCAGCAGCAGCATCATCATCATGATCAACATCATCATCATCATCATCATCATCATCAGCATCATCAGCATCATCATCCGCAACATCATCATCATCATCATCATCATCATCATAATCATCATATACGTTATCATCAGCAGCATCAGCATCATGAACATCAGTAGTGTCATTACCAGCAACAGAATCATCATCAGCAGCATCATAATCATCATCATAATCATCAGCAGCATCATCAGCATCATCATAATCATCATCGGCATCATCACCATCAGCATCATCATCATCAGCAGCATCATCATGATCATCATCTTCATCAGCATCATCATCATCCGTATCCTCATCCTCATCCTCATTAGCATCCTCATTCTCATCCTCATCCTCAGCATCCTCATCATCCTCAGCATAACCATCGTCATCAGTATCAACCCCTCCTCACTCGCCTTTCTCTTTCTCCTCCTCCTTCTCATTATCCTCTTCCTCTTCCTCCTCCTCCTCCTCCTCCTCCTTCTCCTCCTCCTCCTCCTCCTCCTCCCCACCCTCCTCCCTCCTCCTCCTCCTCCTCCTCCCTCCTCCTCCTCCCCTCCTCCTCCGCCGCTCCTCCTTGCTCCTCCCCGCTCCACCTCGCTCCTCCCCGCTCCGCCTCCCCGCTCCGCCTCCCCGCTCCTCCTTGCTCCTCCCCGCTTCACCTCGCTCCTCCCCGCTCCTCCTCCTCCTCCTCCTCCTCCTCCTCCTCCTCCTCCTCCTCCTCCTCCTCCTCTTCTCCTCCTCCTCGCTCCTCGCTCCTCGCTCCTCGCTCCTCGCTCCTCGTTCCTCGCTCCTCCTCCTCCTCCTCCTCCTCCTCCTCCTCTTTCTCCCCGCTGCGCCTTCCCACTCCTCCTCCTCCTCCTCCTCCTCCTCCTCCTGTTCCTCCTCCTCCCTCGCTCCCTCGCCTCCCCGCTCCTCCCCGCTCATCCCTGCTCCCTCTCCTCCTCCTCCTCCTCCTCCTCTCTTCGCTCCTCCTCCTCCTCCTCCTCCTCCTCCTCCTCCTCCGCCTCCTCCTCCTCCTGCTCCTCCTCCTCTTCCTCCTCCTCCTCTCCTCCTCCTCCTCTCTCCTCACTCTCCTCCTCCTCCTCCTCCTCCTCCTCCTCCTCCTCCTCCTCCTCCTCCTCCTCCTCCTCCCCCTCCTCCTCCTCCAACCGCGACCCCGGCACCCATCCCTTTTTAGGATGGATGGCCACCGGGGTCAGGCGTGTGAGGGCGCCGTCCAACCTTGAAACAAACTGTACACCCCCACGGTCTGCGGGCAACGGCCCCTGACCCAGACCGGGGGGGGAATGGAAGCACGCCTGTACGCGCGGCCCAGACGGGGGAAGGAAGGGGCGGGAACGGGGGACGGGGGACGGAGGGCGGACGGAGGGCGGAGGTCGTGTCGTCGTGGCGTAGGTGTGGTTGCCGTTGTCTCCGCCGCCCCCTCCTCCTCTTCCTCCTCCTCTTCCTCCTCCTCCTCCTGTCTCCGGGCGCCTCGGCGCCTTCTGCTGAAGGTGGGCCCTCGTCGTCGTCGTTCTCTTCCTCCTCCTCAAGCTGGCTCCCGGGTGCCTCGGCCCTGTCCCGGCAGCCTCGGCTGGTGGCGCTGGTGCGGCTGCCGCCGCCGCCTCCTCCTCCTTCTCCTCCTACTCCTCCTCTTCTGCCTCACCTCCTCCTCCTCGCCAGAGGCTTCCTCACCCTGCCTTTGCGCCCTCAGCCTCCTCTGCCTCCTCCTCCTCCTCCTCCTCCTCCTCCTCCTCCTCCTCCTTCAGCTCCTCCTCCTCTTCCTCCTCCGCCACCTCCTTCTGGCCCACGTCAGCGCCTCCCTGGCGGGGCAGCGGGCCGATGCGCGGCCAGGACCTGCTCGGCCACCCCGGTCTGCAGGGTGGCCGAGAGTTCCTGCCAGAAGGCAGCAGCGTCCGCGGCGGCGCCCGCTTCGCCTTCCGCGCGGTCAAGCCGGTCGAGGACCAGCTGCCGGGCCGCCTGGCCCACCCGGCCGCCGGTTTCGACCGCGAAAGGCGTGAGGAGCGGCGTCGTAGGACCTGGCGGGTAGCGCAGGTGCTTTCCACGCGCCGCGTCCTCGGCCGCAAGGCCACCGTGGGCCGCCCTAGCCCGCTCCTCGCGCGGCTGCGTGGTGTCGGGGCTCGTGACCACCACGTCCACGACGTGCCACGCGCCCTTTTCGGCCCACTTGACGTCTAACACCGCCACCTCCACCCCGTCCAGTCCAGTCGCCGGGTCGCGGCGCCGCCGCGTCCACTGTGACACCGTCTGTTCAGTCCGCACCAAGCCAGGGACCCTCTTGGCCAGCCAGCGGGCGAGCAGGTCGCGGATCCGATCGTGCCGCCGTGTCCGGGCGGGCCCCGTCTCGCACGCGATGGCGTGGTGCTGATCAAGTTCATGCAACGCTCCGCAAGCGACCCCCTCGCGGGAAGTGTTCTGACAGTGCGTCTGCGATGCATGACCCTTCAGCAGCCTCGGCCCAGTCATCTGGAGGCGCCTCCGTAAGGACAGCCGGTACAAGTCGGCGGCCATCCGGTGTTCTGGCGCCGTCGGCAGCAGCGTAAAAGCCCCAGCGCCCGGGCCGCCGCAGGACTGAATGCGACCGAGCGTGCGGTCGTCCAGGCCGTCCTTCGCCCTTGCGTCGAGAACGTCCATCATCGGCTGCATCAGGTCCTTCTGCCTGCTACTCTCCCCCAGCGCCAGCGAGACCTGCAGGCGGTGCGCCGCGTTGCCCACCTTGGCGTTGTACGCTGCCACTGCGTTGGCGAAGTCTTGCGTGCCTGTGGCCTGCCTCCCCCTCCTTCTCCTCCTCCTCCTCCTCCTCCTCCTCCTCCTCCTCCTCCTTCGCCTCCTCCTCCACCTCCCCTTCCGATCGTATGGGCGCTCCCGCGCCGCGAATCCCATGGAAAAGGGCGACTCCCTGGCTCTGGCCGCATGGCGCAAACTGCGACGACCTCCGCGCCCCCGTCGGCGACCTAGCCGCTCATCCTGCGGCCAGCCCGACGGCCGGCCGCGGCGAAAAATCGCTCTAGCAGTTTTTCGCCGCGTGCCAGGCGCTCACCTGCCCAAGGGCTGCCTGGGCGCCTAGAGGCTTCTGGGGGGCCGGCGCAGGGCGCTCCTGCCACACGTCGATGATCCTCAGGCCGTGCCAGTCCACCGAGGCCCTTCAATACGACGCACGCAGCGCAACGAGGGCCGACACAGGCTGCGCGAAACCCGTGGAGCTGAACGGGCCAACACACACAAACACACACACACACGCGCGCACACGCACACACACATACACACACACACACACACACACACTGGGCCAACATACGTCCTGAGGGTCATCGAGCATAAGGCGCGCATGCACAGGCGCGGGGGGGGGGCACTGCATTTGCGTCTGCTGCTGCTGCTCAGCCTTGAATGGTACTAGCGGCGTGCTCCGAATGAATTCCGACGAATGAATTCCGATGGAGACACACCCTTAGTTGATACTGTTGTGCAGCATCGTCGCGGCGGCTGGATTGCCCTTACCAGTCTTGATCGCAAGGCAGGATCCGGAAAGGAGAGCGCCCTCTTCAGAACGGAGTGGTGCTCAGTGCTCCCCTGTCGAGCGAAATTTTACCAGCATGTGTTGTCAAAAGCATACACACGAACAAACAAGCAAAACAACACAAACAAACAAACAAACGCACATACAAACACATACACAACAAACAACCAAACACACAACCAGCTTATTATGTTTCGAGCGTTTCCCCACCCATTTCTGTCATAGTTTATGGCGTTATGGTATGATTTCTGTTGCTAGAATGCTGTATATTATTCCGCGCTTTGTCATGATATGCTTCCTCATGGTATGGGATGTTAATCGATGTGCTGCTATGTTATGTTGTGGTGTGTTATGCAATGGTATGTTACGTGATGCTATGGTCTGTCATGCTATACGGTGCTGCGTCATGTTATGTTATGTACGTTCCGATATGCCATCGCATGCGTTGCTATGTTGTGATGAAGTACGATATGAGATGACATCTTAGGTGATGATATGACATGCTAGGTTGTGGTATGTTCAATTATGCGTTGATGCCTTATGGTATGCTTGATTTGTCATGTTATGGTCTTATACGTGCTGTGATGCTGTGCTATTGTATGCACTGCTCTGTCATGGTGTGGTATGTTACGATACGGTATGACATGATATGGCATGTTATGCTCGGATATGTTCAGTTCAGTGGTGTGGTGCTATGCTCTGTTCTGTGAGGGACCTGGGGATGTGGCGGCCGCCGTATGCAGAGTGGGCGAGTCGGCAATGGGGGCGGGACCCTCAGGGATTATCGGGGGACCTGGGGATCTGGCGGCCGCGGTATGCAGAGTGGGCGAGTCGGCGCGGGCGGGGGGACCACCAGGGATTATCGAGAGCGTGGGGATCTGGCGGCCGCCGTATGCAGGGCGGGCGGGCCGGGAGGTCTGTTCCTAAAACCTAACGACCCCAACCTGTCGGGTGGGGAACAAACAACCAAACACACAACCAGACAGACAGACAGACAGACAGACAGACAGACAGACAGACAGACAGACAGACAGACAGACAGACAGACCGACAGACAGACAGACAGACAGACAGGCAGACAGGCAGGCAGGCAGGCAGGCAGGCAGACAGACAGACAGACAGACAAGCAAAACACCCATGGCGAGCCAGGGTCGTCCTCCCTCTTCCTGCCCACCCCGCGGCCGGCGCCGGCCCCGAGGGGCCCAGCGGTCGGGCGCCTCCTTGTCCTCCACCGCGCCATCCGATGCCTTGCTGGGCGGCGGCCTGGCCTCCTTCCGGGCCGGGGGTGGGGGGTTAGGCGCTGGAGGATCGAGGCTAAGGGCTCGAGGGTCGAGGATCGAAGCTCGAGGCTAGAGATCCTGGGGCGCGGCTCCGAGGCGGCGGATGTGTACACGTCGTTGATTTCTAATCGTGCTCATTTCTACTTGTGCTCGTTATGATTGTTCCTGGCCCCCTAGTGGCCAGGAAGAGGCTCAGGATAGAACACTTAGGAATGAAAGGATCCTGGCCCCCAAAAAATTAAAGAACCCTCGAATAATTAGAAATGAACCATATTTATAGATTGTGGCGGTGAAGACTCTCGACCAAGTGCTACAACATCCTCTGTTGCACTCGTTGGGGATGCAGCGGTTTGTGATGCAGTGCTTGGGGCCACCGCTCCTAGTGGACAGTGCGCCGCCACCCCAACCCTCGCAGCTGAACGTGATGACGCCCATGACGTAGACTCTGAAGCAGAAGGCGACGCGCAATTCAGCTGCGCAACGAAAGTGTGTGCGACCAGTTGGACAATTACAGAAAGGCTCATTTGCCAATACGTTGCGTAGAGGGTGAGGTCAGCTCCATCGAAGACGAGAGGAGATGGGCTGTCCTCCCCCTCCTCCTGGCAAAGCGGGCCGTGCAGGGCTGCTCGCGCCTCTGGCTCCCCTCTGACCGTGAGCCCCGCCCGAATATCACTGCCGACGTGGGCGTCACGGAAGTTGACATTGCTGCATCTGCGAGTCTGCGAGCTTACAGTCAACGCGTATCAGAAGGATGCGCGATAGGGATGCAAGCCCCTTGGACGCCCAGGTTGAAATGCTTTGAGCTGGGGATTGCCAAAGGATGGGCCGAACAAGCAAGGACGCAAGGGTGCCCTTGGGAACGTCACTCATCCTTATCATGTGCGTTGGGTGTAGTTCTCTGTGACTGGGTGGCGTCGTTGCCAGAAGACACGCCGGTGCTTTTTGCCAAGTGGGTGGATGCACGTTATCTGAGCACTTCCGACCTGCAGCCACGAAGCTTTGATTAAAAGAGCAGTTTCGTCGTAGCGCTGATCTGCCGCCTGTCCTCTTCCCAGGCAATGTGCCGAATTCTGTCCAGAACGGCTTGGCTAGCCCGTCTGTGTCCTCCGCCATCGCACTGCCCTCTGGCCTGCTCCCAATAATCTCGCAGCGTACTTCCCGGTGTGTGACTGCTGTTGAGCTCTCAGTATAACCATTTGTAAGTTACCTTCTACTGCCATCGTGCACTCTAAGCTTGGGGAGCCCGCGCTTGAAACTACCACTCTTTCCCGGGGAAGTACACCCTGGCGATGCATTGTCTTGCATTATCTTCTCGGCATAAGTGCCACAGCGTCGACGGGAGGAAAAGCATCTCTATACAATAGTGTTTTTGCTCGAACTCGCTGAGCAAGCAAGGACACAGCCAAGGCAGCGGAGTCCTGGCCGAACAGAAAGCCATCGTCGCCAAAGCGCGTGTGTGTTGCTCACTCCCCACTCCTTGGCCTGGGAAGTACACCCTGGCGGTGGACTCCCAGGCGCGGGGCAGGGCGCAAGAGTCGGGGCTCGAGAATCGAGGGCCGGGGCTCAAGGGTCCAGGCTCGAGGGCTCGAGGGCTCGAGGGTCGGGGCCCGAGCATCGCGGCACGGGACGTCCCCGCTCTGGCTGCCGCGGGCAGGCCGCGGCCGCACCTCTCCGAAGCTGGGTGCCCTCGGGGTTTGAAAGTTGACTACCTACCAGACCACCCCAACCCAACCCGAAGGCCTGAATTTGACCCGAATTTCGGGTTGGGGGGGGTACGGATACCATGTGTTTTTTCAACGTTCCCCGACCCCCCCCCCACTGGAAATCGAGGATAAATTTGGGCCTTCGGGTTGGGTTTGGGGTGGTTTGGTGGGTGGTGAAAAGTAGGCGCCGTCTCCAGCAGCGCCGCTCCTCTTCCCTCTCAGGCGCACGCGCTTTCTGCTTCGCGGGCGGCTGCTATACAACTCGGCGAGGGCATGTGGGACGCAGAGGTTCGTACTAGTACCATGTGTCCTCTTCGGAGGCGCGCGCCCGACCCGAACACATCGTACAGACATCTTGTAGTTTCGTGAGACGTGTGGCCAGAACGCGCCCGCCGCGGAGCTTATACTATAAGATTTCCCGCCAGGGGGGGCGACGCACACATAGTCTTAGTTTGCTGGGGTGGCACCGAGCACCGGGTTGCGCTGAGCAGACTGCCACCGAGCGTGTGCCGATGGGGGGCAGCCAACAGGCGACTGCAAGTCCAGTAAAAAGGGGTGCACGGAAACCTCCACCACCAAACACACACACACACACACACGAGCACACGCACTTGCTGGCGTCACGGCCACGCGCGGCGGCGCGACTGAGTCGAGCTGGGCATAGGACATCGCGCGCGAGCTGGGCCAGCTCATGCAGCAGGATATGCCAGGTCCACACGCACAAACACACAGACACACAGACACACAGACACACAGACACACAGACACACACACACACACACACACATATATATATATATATATATATGTATACACACTTTTAGCGTCGCGGCCACGCGCGCAACAACGCGGCGAAGTCAGGCTATCGGTCGGAGAAGGCAGAGTGCGCTGGAGCCCAGCTCAGAAGCGGCAGGGCGTGCTGGGTTCACCCACGGGGAAACGCGCAGCACGACTCGCGGGGAGACAGCCGAGAAGGGAGGACGAAGGCGAACCGACCAAGGGGGAACAAGGGGGAAAGCGCCAGAGAGGAGGAAGCGGTGCGGGGTGGAATCGGGCAAACATATATACATATATACACATACATATAGATTTATATATATGTATAAACAAACGCACACGCAAGTACACGCTTTATTTTTCAAGCTCGCCAGTGAGGGCGATCGACGACCTACCAAACATAGCGGCGGGACACGCTCACCGCCACACACATACACACACGCACACACACACACACATGTTTCCATCCGACGTGGGGCTGAGCCCAAACCACGGAAGCATGGTCACGGGTCACGCTAATCACGAGTTAGCTTCCTTGCAAAGCGGTGCGAACACAAAGGCCAAGAAGATGCGCGTTGTCGCATAAAGGCCCGCAAAACGGGGTCAGCACACACAGACCAAGCTCTCCCCTCATTGAAGCTCAACGGTCTGAAGCAAGGACCTTAACGTGGCCACTGGCCTTCGTCAGCTGCGAGCCTGCGAAGGCAAGCACAGGGACGCCTAGGCAGTTCCCAGAACTCCTGCGGGCGTTCCACTGTTGGTGCGCGGCGCCGATGTCGTCCACGTCCTCGTCCTCCTCGCCGCCCTCCTCGTCGCCACTAGGCACCTCGCTGCGACGGAGCACCTCGCCTTCCTCGTCGCCACGGAACACCTCGGCCTCGTCGTCATCGGCGCCGACCTCCTCTTTCGTCCACGCCAGGGCCATCTCGGCGGCCACCGACCCGGCGCGCGGAAAGTATCTGCCTCGCCGACTCAGCCGCCGCGCGGCTCGCAGCGCCGACGCCAGCCGCTGGCGCCTCCGCCGTTACAGGCTACGCGCATGAGCCACCCTAGAAGCGAGGGTGACCTCTGGTGCGTGGCAATACAGGGGCCGCGGGTGGCCACGAGAGGGCCACCTCCAAGCGCGGAAGCAGGTGCTGGGGGGGGGACCCCGGGTGGGCCCGCACCAGAGGGCCACTCCGGCGAAAGGCCACTCCCACGCGCAGCCGAGCCGCTGCAGGCTCCCGCCACGTCCGCCCAGGCCCCATTCCGCGACCGTCCTCGCCGCGCTCCTCGGCATCGGCCGCCGCCGCCTCGAGCAACTGCAACCGCGGACACGCCGAAGTGCACCGGATCCGCTCCGCGGCTCGGACCGCAGGTGTCCGCGAGCACCGGAGTCGGCAGCGGCGAGCGCGATCCTCTTCAGCAGGCGACGGGCGCTCCCCGACGGCCGACAGCCGCGTGATCGCCGTCACCTGAACCAAAATGGCGTACGGCATGTGGGTGGAGCACTGCGCACCCGCCCTCTGCAGCCGCGTCGTGCTACCCTTGAGCGTGCCGCTGACGTCGCTGCTTGTGCCTCGCCGTCGTGCGCCCTTTGTCCACACGCGCGACCCTTCTTCGGTCGCCCCCCGTCGGCGCACGCTCGGTGGGAACCAGCTGAGCGCAACCCGCGAAAGCCCTCGCTGAGGTAGCCCACCCGGCCGCGAAGTGAACAGTGCGTGGAGCCCTGCCCCCCTCCCTGGGCGGTGCGTGCCACCCGCTCCTGCCGCCTGTCGGCCGCGCGGATGCCCCCTCCGTGAGTCCGTGCAGGGCGTGGCTCCCTCGGGGCGGAGCCCTGCGCTCCTCGACCAGGGCTGCCCGGCGGAGGGAACGACAGCGGGGACCACGACCGAGACTGAACGCGGAAGCGTCATGTCGATCTTGGTCACCGTCCACCTTGGTCGGCATCACTTCGTGGATCATCCTCGCGAGCCGGCGGCGGCCAGCGTGGACCATGACCATGATCGGCGTGGACAGAATCCCGTGGCATCTTGGTCCTGGTCCCCGCGCTTCTCCCCTCGACTTGGTGGTGAGCGTGAGCCGCGTGAGGCGCGCTTGTAGCTCGGGACTCTTGCCTGCTAGCCTGACTCCGTCGCGTCGCTGCGGGCACTGCCGCGACGCCGAAAAAGTGCGCGTGGTGAACCTTCTCTGTCTGTTTGGAGCCCAATGTGTGGAAACCGATGGCGGCCTCCATCAAGACCTGGGCAACCGGCCAAAGCAACGGCCTGAACCGCTCAAGGATGTGGTGCTCGCTCCCCCCTCCCATCGTACTACGAAGCTGCATGCATGCAGCTTGCCATAGCGAGGGTGCCGCAGGGAGGGACCAAACATCCAGATGGACTGTGAATCGCGCAGATGGAATGTGAGACGACATTCGGGACTACATGGGGAAGACTGTAAGCGCCTTCTCAGGGCTCGTCCATACAATCACCCGCGCAATGCGACGAATAATGTTCAGCGCATCACAAGGTGCCGTGGCTTCTATCATCATGTCCTTATCAATGTCTATCAGGGTGCCCTGTCAATGTCAACTGTGCAGTCCGTACGCCCGTCTTGTGGAAAAGAGCTGTACCCTGAGCAAGCGAGGGGTTCAGAGAAACGAGCTCGTGCAGGCTGTGAAGGCGAGCGTGATCCAGCGCCAGGCCGTGGCTGCCCACCCCTCCGCCCACGCACGAACGCCACGTCCTGGCTACGAGGCCAACTTGCACCCAGCTTTTTGAAAAAATGGGCCCCACTTGCGGCCAATCTGAACCTCCTGGGCTTGCCCGGGTCCCGCTGCGACGACGGTCAGATGCATCGCAGCGGCGGCCGCTAAAATCAGCACGCGGTTTGGGGGGGTACGCAGCAGGAAGCAGCAGGGCAAACGGGTGCGGTCACGCGCGCCTCCTCCTCCTTCGCAGCTGTCCCCGTGAGGCGGCGGTAGGCCACCTGGCCGGGCTCGCTCTCCTCCTCCTCCTCCTCCTCCTCCTCCTCCTCCTCCTCCTCCTCGTTAGCCTACTGTCGTTCGAATGTGATTGCACGTCCCCGGCTGTGACCCCCTGTGGAGCCCTTGCGCGGACTTCCGATCCGATCCTCGTCCTCGTTCCCCTCGTCCTCCCAACTGTTGTGTGCTTTGTGCGATCATTGAGCTTGGCCCGTGAGTTCCTCCTCCGCCTCCTCCTCCCCCTCATCCCCCATCCTTCGACATTCGCCTACCTGCGTCTCTCTTCTCTTGTTGGCCCCCCCTGGGCGCGGTACAATGACCAAGAGGTGTCGCCGCTTTCTGCGCCTCTAAGGGGAGGGGGTCAGGCCCAGAGGAGCGGCCTACTATGGGAACGCAGATGCGTACTTGTCTCGCGCGCGTGCTCTCAGGAAGATCTCACTGTCGCCAACTGCTGAGCCCCTGACACTTCCAGCAGAAAGGCGCCTCACGCAGAGCGAAATGATTACTAGCTCATCATGGCTGCTCCTGAGCGTGAAGATAGATGTTGGCGCGCCCTGTCCCCCATGGGACGCCCAGCGGAGTCGCTTATTCGCCTCCCCTGGGATCCGCTACCCGTACAGATTTAGCGACTGTCCGAGCTCCTGGGGAATCCAGCGGAAAGGTGGCGTTACACAGCACAAGCACACAAGCATTATCATCCCCCCCTGGGATTCCCCAGACGCAGAATTGTCACCATGTTCTGAAAAACGTGTGATCCCAGTGGACAGGCGTCTCTCGGGAGCCAACATGCTGCTCACCACGCACGGGTATTTCCGAAAGTGCAGCTGTCGCCGCGTCGTGCGTCTCCACTGGGTCCAACGAAAAGATGCTCCACGCGGGCCCACACCAGTAGATTCGCCACCTCTGGGTACTCCCACACGTAATCCGTTACCACATCCAGGGCCCCCCGAGAGTGAATCTGAGTGGGGTCCTACGGAGGCCGTGCCGGCCACTCGCGTCCGCGGGGTGTGCTCCCAGGGGTACAGCCGTCGCCACCCTTGGATCCCCTAGATCTTCTAGCGGAGACGTGTTTTACGGGATCCCAAAGTGGTTGCTGGCATCCCCATTGCTGTCCCCAAGCGACGGACTGTTGCTGAGAGCTTGGAGAGTCCAGCGGAAGAGCGCTCTACGGGAATCCTCACGAACGAACAGTCGTCCTCCATGGGATCTCGGGCCCCTGGCGACTTCGGGCGTCTATGTCGTAGACTCGAACGATTATTCGCGTTTCCTAGGTGCTCTCAGACTTTGACCAGTTGCAATTTTCTGAACCTGGGGTACTTAGCTGAGCAGCGCATTACAGAAAATTTGCATTCGCCGCCTGGCACATGTACCCACAGACGTGTAACTGTCCCAGATTCTGAGATATATGTGAATTCAGCAGGACTGTGTCTTACCGACAGCCAACTGACATTTCGCAGGTCCTGGCTGCTCGTTTTGGGGCGTCTGGAGGGTCCAGCTGCGCGGCGTGCTTCACGGCCCCGCATGGTCACCCGCCTGCCTGGATACTCCCAAACGTAGAACTGTCGCCACTTTGCTGGCCCCTGGGTGGGCTGGGCACGTTCCTGGGTTTATTCCCCTCCCGGTGCAAGCTCTGCTCGCTGGCGGGCCGCGCTTCTTGAGCTAGAGGGATCCAGTATCTGATTTGCTCCCTCGCCCGCACGGGTGCGGCTCTTCCACTCGAGCCTCTCGCACTAGCGGCCGTGTCGGCTGACGACGGGCGATCGGCTTAGAGCTGACCGTCGCCAGGCCCAGAGAGCGGCCGAAGAGGAGAGGGCAGATTCCGAAGGGCCTCGGGTCAAGGGAAGGCCCTAGCCGTCGTCACTCGGAGCACCCTGGCCCCTGCACCTCCTTCCACGGGGTCGCGAGGTCCATGCCAAGCGGGCGGCGCCAGATGGTGATCTCCCCCCGGTTCTCCACGAGTGATGTCATGGTGGCCCTGGAAAGACCCGTCGTGAGCTGGCCGCTCACCCGCAGGATGGCGTCACCCTCCAGGAGTCCCGCGGCCCAAGCATCGCTGTCGACCTCCACCCGGCTAACTACGGGCAGGGCCCCCAGCTTCGCCAGCTGGAGGCCCAGCTCCTCGAATTCCCGCCCGATAGACAAGAGGATCTGCACGTGCGGCTCGTCCAGCCCAACGGGTTCATCACGGTCCACCTTGATCATCAACGGGCGGACCTTGAGCAGAGGCAGCAGTTCGTCTCGGCATTTGCCAGAGGTGCGCGTGCTGGCGATCTCCACGATGCGGTCGGCGGGCTTGAGGCCACAGCGCTCCGCCTGGCCGTTGGCGCTCACTCCCGCCACCCTGGGCTGGTCCGCCCTCCACTCGACCTCACACCCGAGGCGCGCGGTACCCTTATAGAGGAACAAACAACCACATAAACATAAACTTTTGGAGGTCTGCGCGGATTTCTTGGATCTGCGCTGGACCCCCCTCCCTGGCGCGCTCCGCGCGCCGGGGCGGCGCCGGCCCGGAAGGCCCAGCGCGGATCCAAGAAACCCGCGCAGAGCGCCAAAATATTGTATTTATGTGTGTTTTTCTTCTTCGACCTCAGGGAAGAAGGCGTGGCGCCGGACAGCAGCGGTCTGCAGCTGCGGCGCAGCTGCGGGCCCTCGTCGCATCAGCGGGCCAGCAAGGCAGCCGACCCCTGATCCGATGGTGCCCTTGAACAGGGGCTCGGCTGGGCTGACGGATCTAGATCTCAGGTGGATCTCCACGTCGGACAGTTCGCCTGCGGCACCCGACTGCGCCTCACCACCGCCCTCGAGATTGGCGTCCGTCACCTCCTCGTGGCCCTCCGAGGCCAGCT